CCAAAATAAATGAAGTGCCAACACCCAGTTAAAATTTTACTCTTTTGCAAAGTCGCGGCCTGTAGTTTTTATTTAAGTAAGATTGTTATTGTGGAGAGTGTGAAAAGTAAGTTTTGGTCATTTTAATAATATAACTAACTTCAAATTAAATAGCATAGAAAGCGATTACATTTTTATTTTTTTTTTTACTTAAAAACGAATCTCACTTTAATTACATACTACCACGTTTATTTTTGATAAAATGCTCCTGGTACTTACAGTATTAGGTTTTTCTAAACCTTTTTTCTAGAGTCTTAGAAAATCAATTATCGTTCTAATTTCCTTTTGAGTTTTTTACAGCCTGGATTTCACCCTGGTCATCATAGTATAACACTTATTGAGGTTACGGAAGATATATGTATGTCTATCAAAAAGTAACAGACACGTCGCAATATTGACTTTCCTCAATTTTAGCAATGCATAATGCGTAAGCAATAATATCGTTGACTTCAGGCGTTCCCCAAGGTAGTCTTCATTATATCTTTTTATTACGTTTGTATCTCATCACATTTCAGATTATGTCCAAATTTTCCGTATTGTATCTCGCTGATCATCGTGATAGCATATTAGACAACCTAAATAAAAAAAATGTAAAATGCACACCTTGATATGACTTCATTTTATTCATATAAGTTCTATAGTATGTAAATGTATATATCTATAGTGTGTATGCAATTCCATTACTGCTCGCTCTATTTATTAATTCAGTTACTCCGTATATTTCTTCTCGCCATCACATATATACAGATTATGTCCAAATTTATCGTCACTCGGGTATTGAAATTTCACTTGGGTGTCATTTTGGGTGATAGCTATTAGTAACAACCTAACTGCCATTAAAAATTAAATGACCTCTTTAATCTTAAAATGAATGCATTAAAATTTGAATCAATAGTTAGTGGCACTAGCCGCATATTAGCTATTAATTAGGAACATTTTCCTCTAAATATGTTTTTAAACTAAAGACTAAGATATACACATAGATCCAACACTGTTGTGGTTATTGAAGTAGATTTTTTTGCTGTTATTGGCTCTTTACGGTGATGAAGATATTTTTCTTAATTACTAACAAAACTATTATAGTGAGATCTAAGATTTTCGCGAGTTTTATTAATTGAAATGAAACTAATATTTCGGATTATACTACGTGACTTTATTTTCGTAAAAAACTAAATACTCCCCACGTTTCGATGACGTTAATGTAGTATTAGGAATGTTTATGATGATACCACTATCACCATATTTCACGTAAACATAAGATAAGGAAATTTAAAATTTTATAAATAATTAAAAATTTGCCTAGTTTTTGTAAATGTACTCGTAGATATTAATTTTAATATACAGTTCGATAGCTTATATCGATTTCCAATTTTTATTCCTACTTATCCATTATTAATTCAGGATTCAAAATTAAATGAGACAAAACCTCTTAGCATTCAATGGATTCACCGTGCGGGTGCAGGGTCCATCGCGTTGCAGGAAGAGGAGCTTCAACAGTGCCTGGGACTTGCGACCCAGGTGTAGGTTTAAGGGGCCCCATATCTAACACGCGTTACACGCTCACCTCCACTGTCCAAGCTCCTCTCTCTACCTAACCAAATTTGAAAAGAACCTACTAGGACTGACTTCGACGTACGTTCCAAGAATGAATTAATGTTAGTTCTGGACAGTCCCAAGTCTTAGTAGGTTATAGAGAGATTTAGCTTTTATACATCTACAGTAATACATAGTTTTTGCAATTAACGGTAGGGTAAACAGCTCTCTTTCTCATCGGACTAAATGTCAGTCTTCTATAAAAGGGTGAGACTTTCCTGTTGGAGCTATTCCTGACAGGAGCTTTGACTACTGCTATTCTTTCGACCTAAAAATATTTATATCACCTATGTTATAATACGCAGTTAATAAGTTAAGATCAAAATTTAAAAAACTAGTGATTCTTGTTCTATGGTTTTATTGCAATTAAATCTTCTAAACTTTTTGTTAATAACTTAATAAAGTTAAGCCCAAATGACACCAAAAAAAAATGTTATGATATTGCTCACTTCAATGTAGTAATAAACCATTTTTTAAAAAAGCATTAAAAATATTTTTTTATTTCCTTTCATTTTATAATATATTTAATAAATTAGCATTCAATTCAGTTCATTCATTCATTATCAATTTTATTAAAATTATATTCGACATATAATCCCAGTAACAAATAAGGAAATAAATAGTGAATTTAAATAAATAATATTAATTGTCATTAATTTTATTTATTGTACATCACTAGTCCTAAAGAAATGGCGTATGTGGGTATTAAAAATGCATTTTTGGAGCCGTCAGGAAGCTACATAAATATTGTTTTAGTAAATGTAATGTTCACATACTCGGTTACCGGGCAACCTTAACATCTTTGTCAAATCCCTAGCCAGTAGGGTAGCTCTTCAGTTCCGCTGTTTAATTACTCTTATAATTAACTTGTCACGGAATCAAACATCCTTAGAGACAAACAGCTTTCCTATTGATGTTTGTTGATATAATCTTTAATATATCGAATAAATAAATACATACTTCCGTTCATTAATTGTACTGTTACTTCATTAATAATACAGTTCTATGTTTAACTCAATGTTATAAAAAAGTCGAAGATATTTTTATTCAAAACTAAAGTTAAAGTTGCATATTTTTTATTTAAAATTACAAGTATTTATTTAGTAACATTCGACACTTGTACCCATTAAATGGCTTAATTTTTTTAATCTATGAACATTCGAGTAGATAAACTACGAAATTTTACGAAGAAAATCTATTACGTTCATATTTTTCATGTGTTTAATCAAATGAAAAGCCTATTTATTCAATAAATTTTTTTAAGGTAGAATTTTAGATATTTTCATACATTTCATTAATTAATTATTTATGAGCCACTTATCCCGCATTAAAAAGCTGATGATAAATTTTATATTTAGGAAAGAGTACCCTAGTTTCATGTTTTTGACCCGAAAATAACCTTCACAGAATGATATATTAAAATTAGTCGACTTTTTTAACATTATTTTGTTTAAAAAAAATACAACGATTTTCTTACAATCAAGCAGCGAACTTTTAATCGAAACCCATAAGTTAATATAAAACTAATACATTATGTATTTAATACTGGTATAAGTAATGATATCGGAAGTCGGCCCGTCTCGTTGTTCTCACGATACCCGCCTCTTTTGTTATTGTTCACGTGAATGTATAAATTATTGATGTTTTACCAATTCCATAGAGTGTTTGTTGAAGTTATATTCTTTACATTCGTGGATAATATTATATTAATATATACGAGTACGTTCATTCTATTTGAGGATATAATATTTTTTTTATGTATTTATATGATTTAATACCTTGTTTATTCAAATTGACAATAATAAAGTACAAAAAATTAAAATTATCTTATAACTGCTAAAATTACTATAAATTTAAAAATTTATGAAATTTTATTTCTATTTATGTTATAATTATAGATTTTTATAAAAATATTTAAATAGACAAACCAAATATATTTTTAGAACATTTTGATGAGAGATGAATTCTTTGTAACCGAAGTTGCATTTTATATTGAACGGACATTTGTTCTTTTATATTAAATAAACAAGCTTCAGATCATTTCAAATACATTTGTATTGACAATAAAATAAACGTTTATTTTACGATTGCATTATTACAGAGATACTTGTCTTTTCCTTACAATATTGCTTGGAGTACCGAAATATCGATATCAATTTCCACCTCTATACCCTTATGTGCATACAGATATGTTGATTGTTTCATATCCAAAAGCCCTCTCCGAATTGAATATCGGATACCAATTGCTGGAAATACACTAGACTACTGACACGGTTCAAAGTATTTGACAATAATATTAATGTTAAATAAACGTAAAATTAGATCAAATGGGAAGAAGGAAGCAGACCTAAAAATACGTATTTAATTCCATAATTTATACAATTATTAAAATAACAGAATTTTTTTTATAAAAGGCAAAATCACTGTTATCGTAACGGTTGCGATTTGAGTGTCTTCACATATATATTAATCAGTGTTAGTATACAAATTATATGTAATACGATTAGAACTTCAAAATAGGACAATATCTTACCAAGTAAATTAGGCATGAGAAATGTTACCACGTTCATGTAAAACGTTACCTAGAGAACATTTTTTTAACGGGCATAGAGAATGGTACGTTTAATTTCACTTTTTACAGTGTGACGTGCGAAATTATCGCCTGACTCTCACAACACATTTATGAATGTGATGGATGAAAAGAGAACCTCTATTCTTTGAACAATAGACTGAAGAACATTTTTTAATTTTCTATACCCAAAAACCATATACCCAAAATACATCAGGAAGACCTTATAGCTGGTGGTAAAACTGAGCCTACGGCTTGCTAACTAGGATGTGAAATCGAATCCCAAAGGAAATAGTAGCCACGCTCACGATTCACCTGAAGTGAGTATCCTTAAGGCTACGTCGTAAGGGATCTCACTCTACATAGATCTCCTAAATGGTGTTGGAAGATAAGGCCAAAGTATTATTTTGACTTTAAGGTGATGATTGTAAAGTGTGAAAATAGTTTATGGGCTATTCTCAAACAGTCGCACATACCCATTTCGACTTTCTCATTGCGTCCTAAGAAGATAATAACTTGCTTCCACAACATTTAAATATATGTAAGTATTTAACTACTTGACATACATTTAATTGTATTAATAAAAGCTATAATAAAAAGACGATTTAAGTAAAAAAATATTTTTATTAAAAGTACTTTTGGTTGTTACAAGCCTCGGAACAATATTTACATTGCATCAAATGAACTCATATTCAAACGTAGCTTAATTTTGTTATGTATCATTCTGAAGACTTTTGGTGGAAATATATTATACATATATATATAAATTGACTAAGTTATCTAAGATTCTAATTCACATTCACCACCAGCCTTGAGACAGGGAAGGAACGTAGTGCGAGTCTTCTACTATCTTCGAAACCTTTACAATTTGGGGTACGGACACTATCTTAGGCACAGACACGACCTTCTTAACTTCCACAATCTAAAAATAGACAATATGAAGTTATAAAAAAGAACGATATTTATAATATATACATAAAATCTACAATGGAAAAGAATCATAAGTTAAAAAGTTGGGATTAATACCTTAGGGACCTCCACAATTTTGTGGCTGGAGATGATCTTGGCGGGAGCTGAGTAACTGATATGTTCATCGAAACCGTGACTTAATCCAAGATCGTAGGAGCTGTGTCCGAGATCGTAGCTGCTGCTGAGTCCACCAAGAAGGAACCCACGCTTGTCACGTTTGCCTTCTGGGGCAGCGAAGGCAGCGACGGCGAGGAGGACTACACATGCCTAGTAAAAAAAATTGATCCTTACTCAAAATGTATTGCAGATGGAAGTAAAAGTAACAGTACGTATTTTCTTTAACACTTACAAATACTTTCATTTTGTTTAAAGTGGTGATACTTTTAATTTATTTGAGAGGAATTAAGTGACTGATTATAATGCATTCAATTCTCGGGTATATATATGTTCGAGGCTGACTACCAACACTCCCCAGCCACTCTTGCGCAAAACTATTATAATTAATCAATGATTACGTTATTTGCGACAACCTATCAAATATAAAATAATTTTATATATTTTTAAAACACCCATGATATGTATGACCTTCACTAGATACAATTTTGAATATTTATCAGATTTTAATAGAAAATAGCAGTTAATAAGGTTTTCTTAAACAGATTTTATCCAGTCAAAGCGATCTTAGTTTGTGGAATAAAAAATACATAATATAATATAGGTAGTTTATCCTCATATCACTTTAATTTATTTTTAATTCCTTGAAATAAGAGTATTTTTATATTCTTGTTACACCATTGCTATGTATGTATATTCATTACTCCATTAGCATTTACTAGTAGTTTTTGCGATGTTAAGTTATGTAGATGAGATTTCATTCACGTACAATTGCTTGAATTCACAATATCAATTATTATCAAATACACTTTATTTGCCACTTAGCGACTCTTTTCAAAGACAGAGATCAGAAAGCCATGTATCTTTAATCTAAACCTTATATATAACATACAGATATATGGATTGGGAAGTATAAAAAACGAATTCCGGTGTTGATATTACGATTTAAGTTTTCTTAATGTTCAAATCTGAGAAATTAAATACCATTAAAATTTTATGTTCAATGTAACCTAGAAACTACCTATCTATAACCTAGCAATTCCTTAACTAGGATAGATTATGATGTATCGATTAGAAATTGTTTTAAAATAGTTTTAGCACAAAAAAAATCAATGGATTCCAGTCAAATTAAAAAACCTTTTTATTAAAAAATTTGTATAAAGATAACAACGTATTCCATCGTATATTCTAGGGACATATAATATAAATATTTTACTTGATAACAAATATAAGGAAACTGACCTAATATATGTATAATCCTTACTGTGGTAAATTTCATTGATATAAATTATGTAAATATTTATTTAATATTATATTTAAAACGTGTGTTAGTGTTTTTACTTATTTTTTATATAACACGATGGCCCCATCAGTACTGTCCTCAAAATACACTTTTGAAGAAAAGAAGTGTGTTAGATTCTCATCATGTGAACTTAGAATAATTATTTCACATATTTAAAGAAATCACGCGGAATAAAATTACAATTACCCAGGTAACGGCACGTAAACTTAGTTGTATGTCCTAATATATTGCAATGTAACACAGACGTTATGAGGAAACATAATGTGGTCGGATCCGATATTAATGCGCATACACTCTTGCTCGCTAAAAACATATCTATGTCGTAAATTTTATGACTATAAAAATTATTTGATATCACTAACGATCTATAATATCTAATAATTATAAAGTCAAGGTAAAATATTTCCCAAACGTGTTTCATAATCTAATATTTTACACTGTGGAAATGAATAAAATAGTTTTTTTCTATTCTATACCTTATATACTCCTTATCAGATATAAACAAAAATCTCAAAAAACGAATTAAATGAATGAGCTATTATTATTAATATACTTAATATATCTTTATACTTTTTCCAAAGTGAGCCCTTTTGAAATTTTTACATATATCCAATTATCCATGTCATAATTATAAGGATATATTTGTTGCACACTTTAGTGTAATCAAGAATTAATATAAAAAGGCCTATTATTATCTTAAATTTTAAAACAGCCACTAGTATCAACAGTAATATAATTTAAATATAATCAGTTACACAATAGTTTTAAGATATACGTGTAAAATTAAACTTATGTATTAATTTGCTGCATAACCTTCGATAACTTTTACAAAAAAAAACTGTTATTTTTAAAAACAAGAAGGTCCAAACAGATTAGAAATATATTTAAAATAAATTAATTAAATATATTATTGAATATAAGATACGGAGCCGCGAATAACGTAACCATTCATTAATTATATGATAGTTTTGCGCAAGAGTGGCCGGGGAGTGTTAGTACACAGCCTCGACATATATATATACCTGGGATTTGAATCTACTATTATCAGTCACTTATTTCCTCTCAAATTAATCAAAAGTATCACCACTTTAAACAAAATGAAAGTATTTGTAAGTGTTAAAGAAAATACGTACTATTACTTTTACTTCCATCTGCAATACATTTTGAGTAAGGATCAATTTTTTTACTAGGCATGTGTAGTCCTCCTCGCCGTCGCTGCCTTCGCAGCCCCAGAAGGCAAACGTGACAAGCGTGGGTTCCTTCATGGTGGACTCAGCAGCAGCTACGACCTCGGACACAGCTCCTACGATCTTGGATTAAGTCACGGTTTCGATGAACATATCAGTTACTCAGCTCCCGCCAAGATCATCTCCAGCCACAAAATTGTGGAGGTCCCTAAGGTATTAATCCCAACTTTTTAACTTATGATTCTTTCCCATTGTAGACTTTATGTATATATTATAAATATCGTTCTTTGTATAACTTCATGTTGTCTATGTTTTTAGATTGTGGAAGTTAAGAAGATCGTGTCTGTGCCTAAGATAGTGTCCGTACCCCAAATTGTAAAGGTTTCGAAGATAGTGGAAGACTCGCACTACGTTCCTTCCCTGTCTCAAGGCTGGTGGTGAATGTGAATTAGAATCTTAGATAACTTAGTCAATTTATATATGTATAATATATTTCCACCAAGAGTCTTCAGAATGATTCATAACAAAATTAAGCTAAGCTACGTTTGAATATGTGTTCATTTGATGCAATTTAAATATTGTTCCGAGGCTTGTAACAACCAAAAGTACTTTTAATAAAAATATTTTTTTATCTATATAGAGTTTTTATCATAATTATAACCATATGTGTGACCACATTCTTATTTATTAGTGACTTTGTAACGTCACTATAGGTGTTAGTAAAAAAAGTAAATAAATTCAAATAAAAAAAGTCTCACAAATAATGTTATCACAGAAAGTTTAAAAATAAATCCAATATTAATTTCACGCCCCCTCGAGGTCTCGAAATCATTAGGATCTCCGTAAACGGTCCAATTGTAACGGTATTGTGTAAATTACGTATTCGATGCTAGTCCGCAGAGCGTGTGGTTAGGCAACACCCGCACCTCGCTTGCTCTTTTATAAAGGAGATCAGTTATTCCGTTATTTTGTAATACTTATGCATATTATGTTATTTTGATTGCTCTAACATCATTGACCTAAAATTAAAATTAAAATCACTTCAAGGTCAAGGTGAAATTTTAATATAAACATTTCAATATATATTAGTTATAGAATTATTCAATAGTTTTATACTAAATGTTGATCAATTATTCTGATAAACTGTTATGAATGATTACGCTTAGCTTAACTAACAATTATAATTGTAAACATAAAAAAATCAATTGGCCTTACGTGATTTAAACATAAAAATAATTACGTTCTGCGTTTTGAAACTCGTATCATACTAGAAAAATTGATAATCAAATGAAGTGTATATAGTGTCGTTAGTATTGAACTGACCGTAATTGTTAATAGCTCTATTAATATTAATTTATTAACAACTGATCAAATCTCTAATACTATAAAGGAAGTATCATACAACACTTAATTCTTATATAAATTTCGTTATCCGCAATTGGCATTATTAAAATACTTATTAGTCTTCTTCTTCTACCTGGCAATTTTCCCAGCTATAGCCAGGGTCTGCCTTTCATGTTGTGAATAGTTTTTGGCTATTTGTTTTTACGACCGGCCGCCTGCCTGACATCAACCCTCTTTTGGGAATCAACATTAATCAGTGATGTCTAAATACTCTTAGAAAGTACATATGATTCGGAAAAATCACATTGGTACTTGCCCGGGCCAGAATCGAACCCGCGCTCTCGGCGACGAGAGGTGAGCCCTTTAACCACTGAGCCACCACTGACTTAATTAAAATACTTATTAGTATTTGCCAAAAAGTAGGAAAACAATCTGTCATAAAAATATTTAAAGTATTGTTACAAATATTTCTTTTTTTTAATATTATTATAAGGCTTTCTTGAGTTAATTATAATTAATGAATTAATTTGGGATCTAAATTTAATATTTTTTTAGAGTACTTATTACATTGGTTAATTATTTCAGATTAATTCATTGATTTCATAAGCGACGACAATAAATTAATAAAAGGGTCGCGATATTTTTATGGTTCTTGTATGTAGAAATTTAAAAAATAGTCTTTAACAAGGGAAATTAACATTGATTAATTTTAGTTACCATTATTACTACAAGACCAGAAGATATACGTAAATTAATCAATGAAAGTCTTCCAACATTTCATATAATAAAACAAGTGTAAATATAGAATATTGAATTTAAATTTACATTAAGAAAAAATGAATATTCTTTTAAAATCCTCCAGTAAGGGACGATATTGTCGAGTGACGTTATTAATGTCAGTTACGTCCCCACATAAATATTCAGAATGAACTGAGCCGGTAATTTGAATGCTTGAAAAATGTCTCCCTTGGGACGCGTCCGGCAGCTATCTCTCGCCTATCTGTCTTCTTTGATGCTAAACTGTCACTTATGCACTGACAAATTTGGATTAACTCCTCGTTAAAGGTAAACTATGGATTTTTCCACCTTTCTAGCCTGTATCATTTTTTATTCTAACCATATTTAAGGTTTATAATGATAATTAGAACATATAATAAAATTTAGATAGGTCCTGCATTAATGTATACACATATGTTTCGTTTTTTATTTAAATGATTTTATGCAACATGAATGTGTCACTATAAGTAATAGGTTCTGTGGGCCCTGGTAATAAATTTAAAAGTGGTAATAAATTTGTTTTACACGAGTGAAAATAATTTCAGTTTCAATAACCTCTTTGTATCGTTAAATAATACGAAAGTTTAACATCACATACAATATGTCATATTATGTCCTTTGAATTTAAATTTGAGT